GTCGCCTCTCCCCCCCGACTCTCTGCTCTGTCTGTGCGTCGCTGCCGGATCCTCTTCCCCTCTGCGCACGGCACGCGACGCAACCCCGCCCACAGCGTGCGATCCCTCCGTCCGGTGAGGCACGCGCACAGAGACACACCGCATCCCTCCGCGGGGAGAAGTAATCCCTGCAGTCTCCTCCCGAGCCGGGACTCCCCCGCCCCTTGTGATGTCATAGCACCGCCAGGAGACGCCGCGCGGCGTCACGCCACAGCCGAGTGACGTCACCGCCCCCCGGCCTGTCTCATGAGGTCACAGCCCAGCTGGGTGACATCACATCCTACTGTGAAGTCAGAGCCCCACCCAGCCACCTGACTCCATCCTGACGTCACCAGGCCATGTTGTGACCTCACCCCCCCGCCCTGTGATGTCACAGCCCCACGTGCTGCTCTCCTGCCCCCATGGCACACATAGCACAGCCTGGCCTCGCAGCTGCCCCGCCACAGAGCCCCCCCGAGCGGCAGCACAGCGGACTTGGACCCTGTGCTAGCGCCTTGCCGTGTTGCAATGTGACCGCCCGCGTTCCCTGGAAGCAGAGCGCTTGGGTGGCCCCCCAGGAGAGATTCAAATGCTGCCCAGCCAGCAGCATGCATTTCCACGGGTGGTGCACACCCACACGGGCGGCAGGGCACATCAAATGTATTCTGTACAGGGATGGGAAAAAGTTAGAGGGAACATTAGTCGTTCCTCAGCATCCTGACATCAGCATCCCACCTGGTGACCATCCCTTCCCTCCCAGAAGCTATAGCTGTGGGAGGGGGGCTGACCCAGCACCAAGGAGCCAGGTATGGGCCAGTCCATTGCTGCAGCAGATGCAGATGCCCCATCCTCACAAGCCAACAAAGGCAGGGGACTTAGCTCAATACCCAATGAGCAGGTTGCTCCAAAACCAGCAGTGAGTCTCCATCTCCTCCACTTAACACACAGGGACTGAGCATCCAATGCAGCAGCATTTCTTATCCCAACCTCCTGGGATATCACATCCCATACCCATGCCAGCACATAAGGGGCAATCATTTTGTTGGTGGAGCACCAAGAACAGCTGCGGCTGGTTTGTGACTGGGGCGCCTAGCTGCTATGATAAAGGAGTTACCTTAACTCTGGCCTCCTCCCTGCTCCTTTCCCTCACGAGAGCAGGAGCCTTCTCGACTGCAGGGCCCACGCTGTTTGGGGCTATGGTTCCTTAAGAGACACGGTATCGGCAGGGCAGATTCAGGCAAGGCATTGGAGTACCTACAGCAGGCTCAAGGCAGGCAAATGAGCCTGACCAAGCAAGGAGTGGCAGTCAGATAACTCCGAACTCTACCATTGGCACTAACAACCTGGGACAGTTAAGCCAGCAGGGCCAGGACAACATATAACCATCTCCCATCCACAGGGCACTGAGGTTCTGAGCTTACCTCCCACCAGCTTCCTCCTCTATCCATTGCCACAGACTCCAGCTGAGCTCAATGCAGCCCAGTGCCCCCTACCGGCTTGCAGGGGTTAGTAGTGGCTGCAAAAGGAAAGCACCCCCACCCTGCTCCCTAACGCCTTCTAGCACCACACTGAGATCAGCGCTGATTGCAGGAGAGCGCCCCCTATTCAGCTCCCCTTCCCCACAGCACAACGGCCAGGAACAGCATGAATGAAGGTGATCAGACAACAGGGTGGATGTTTTTGTTGAAAAGAGCGGCAGCACAGCGGACTTGGACCCTGTGCTAGCGCCTTGCCGTGTTGCAATGTGACCGCCCGCGTTCCCTGGAAGCAGAGCGCTTGGGTGGCCCCCCAGGAGAGATTCAAATGCTGCCCAGCCAGCAGCATGCATTTCCACGGGTGGTGCACACCCACACGGGCGGCAGGGCACATCAAATGTATTCTGTACAGGGATGGGAAAAAGTTAGAGGGAACATTAGTCGTTCCTCAGCATCCTGACATCAGCATCCCACCTGGTGACCATCCCTTCCCTCCCAGAAGCTATAGCTGTGGGAGGGGGGCTGACCCAGCACCAAGGAGCCAGGTATGGGCCAGTCCATTGCTGCAGCAGATGCAGATGCCCCATCCTCACAAGCCAACAAAGGCAGGGGACTTAGCTCAATACCCAATGAGCAGGTTGCTCCAAAACCAGCAGTGAGTCTCCATCTCCTCCACTTAACACACAGGGACTGAGCATCCAATGCAGCAGCATTTCTTATCCCAACCTCCTGGGATATCACATCCCATACCCATGCCAGCACATAAGGGGCAATCATTTTGTTGGTGGAGCACCAAGAACAGCTGCGGCTGGTTTGTGACTGGGGCGCCTAGCTGCTATGATAAAGGAGTTACCTTAACTCTGGCCTCCTCCCTGCTCCTTTCCCTCACGAGAGCAGGAGCCTTCTCGACTGCAGGGCCCACGCTGTTTGGGGCTATGGTTCCTTAAGAGACACGGTATCGGCAGGGCAGATTCAGGCAAGGCATTGGAGTACCTACAGCAGGCTCAAGGCAGGCAAATGAGCCTGACCAAGCAAGGAGTGGCAGTCAGATAACTCCGAACTCTACCATTGGCACTAACAACCTGGGACAGTTAAGCCAGCAGGGCCAGGACAACATATAACCATCTCCCATCCACAGGGCACTGAGGTTCTGAGCTTACCTCCCACCAGCTTCCTCCTCTATCCATTGCCACAGACTCCAGCTGAGCTCAATGCAGCCCAGTGCCCCCTACCGGCTTGCAGGGGTTAGTAGTGGCTGCAAAAGGAAAGCACCCCCACCCTGCTCCCTAACGCCTTCTAGCACCACACTGAGATCAGCGCTGATTGCAGGAGAGCGCCCCCTATTCAGCTCCCCTTCCCCACAGCACAACGGCCAGGAACAGCATGAATGAAGGTGATCAGACAACAGGGTGGATGTTTTTGTTGAAAAGTTTAATAGAAATATAGATCTCAAAAAAAAAAAAAAAAACCACACACACATAAAACCACACATCCACTGAGTGGCCCAATAGGGCCCAGCTCCGGAGATGCTCCATGCGCAGGGCTCCTACCAGTGCCCTTCAGAGGGAAAATGCCCTCCTCTCCCCAATACACACAGGGAACGGACGCCCTGGTGCCTTTACCCACAAGTCCCTCTTCCTGCCCTTATATCCCAGCCTGACTGGACAAAGGCCACTTGACCCCAAGGTACCCAGTGGAAGGTGACCCTAAAATGGCCAATACTTGCCCTGCTAAACAATCTGCCCCAGCACGTTCCACCGCTGGGGGTGCTAGACAGAGGCACCGGGAGGATGGAGGCACCAGGAGGATTTGTGCGTAGGCAACTAAGTACAGAGAAAGGGAAGGTTTGGTACACCTGCTGGACCTTCACTCCCCTACCCTGCTCCTGGACTGGACCAGGAGCTTGTGAGGGGAGCAGCAGTGGAGGCATCTTAGTGACTGGCTTCAGGACGGGTGCCCCAGCTTCTTCCAGATCTGCCTGAGCTAAGAGCTGCCCTCAGGCAAGCAGTCAATTGTGGGCAGAACCAGGGCTCAAAGGGGAGATGTCTCCTGGGAAGCAAAGGATTCTGGGCAGAGCTAATACATCCTCCCAGAGAGATCCCTGCCCGGACATCGATTCAGGAGCCCCGGGGATTCTGGGAGCATCCCTGGAGGGCATGATGGCTCTAAGAGGAGGACCCACGAGCAGAATATTCTGAGTATGTCCCAAAGAGAGATGCTCCCTGGGAGAGCTGAGGATACTGGGAGCATCCTAGGACATAACCACTCTCCTGGGATCCCACAGGATTCTGGGAGTTGCCCACCCCAGTCTCTGGTTTGATGCCCCCAGTGTGTATTTGGACAATGAAGTGCCCCCTAGTCCCTATCGGCTTCAAACAGGGCATCCAGCTCAGCCAGGCGCTGGCGCAAAAGTTCCTCCAGGTTGGGGTGCTGGGGTGGGGCCCGGCGCCCACCGGGCACCCGCCCTGCCAGCCTCCCCCGGGACCGGGACCGGCGCTGCTTGCGGGGCAGGCTGCTGTCCTGGAACTCCATGGTGCGCTTCAGTTTGCGCTGGCTGGTGAGCACCAGTGCCCCGTTCCGCTCCCGAGGCTCCTCGAAGATGGTTTCAAAGGTCCTGCGGGTGAGCGGAAAAGGCTAGATGGACCCAGGTGCCAAGTACCAACCGCCCCATCTCCTGGCTGGACACCCATAGTACAAATGGGGCTCGGATGCCCTACTGTGTCCCCCAGCTAGAATCCCCTCAGCATAGGGGACAGGGCAGATGGGGGATCAGATTCCTGGGCTCCCAGCAGCAAGAACCAAGCACAGCTAGATTTAACCTCCTGCACCCCTCCCCACCTCTGCAGCCAGGGCTCTTCCCTTCCTGTGAGTTAGGGGAGGTGGATGTCACCCTTCCCCCCATTACTCCCCCAACTCCTCACCCCTCCAGCAGCAGCCCCCAGGGCCTTCTCACCTCTTTTCGGTGGGAGTGCGGTAGTTCTTATTGGTGTAGATCTCCTCCAGACTGAACTCCTTCTTGTCTAACCTGCGATGGGGAGACCAGACTGAGCAACGGGGCACAAGGATGTCTGTGCAGCGACGCAACAGGCGCTGGGGTGGGGCCCGGACGATGCTGCACAACAGTGATGCCCAGCTCTAGAACAAGAGTCCTGCGGCCAGCTGTCATCGTCAGGGAGATTCAGAGCCAGGGACAGAACCCAGGAGTCTGAACTCTCAGTTACACACCAGCAGATGTCCCCATACCTGACTGGCCGGGGCAGGCCCATGGGCGTGAGGTTCGCTTGCTGTTTGGAGGGAGTCTTGCGGATGCGGAAGTGGGACACTTTCCCTGTGGTCCCTTCCTGGGAGCTCTACAGGGAGGTAAATAGGACAGGGTCAGGAAGGATTCCCTGTCATGCACAGACTGAGTGGAGCATGCCCCTACACCACCCAAGTGCCACCCACCCTCCGCCCCCACGGCACCCCTACTGGGCCATCTCACCTTGGCATCTGTGTGTGACAGCACAATCCTGCCTGTGGTGGTGCCATGGCCCCTGTCCCCCTGCTCCGAGCCCTGGGAGCGGTCCCTGTGAGGCAAGAAGACCATAGAGACTCGAACCTTTGGGGCCCTTTTCTGGAGGCTCCATGGCACCAGGAGCCGAGATGCTGGGTCAAGCAGATGGCAGTGGGATTACCTAGGCCAAGGTTGGGTAGCAAGAGGGATGAGGCAGGATTTCCTGGGGCAAGGTGGGATGGTGTAAGGGGCAGGCAGGGGATAACAGGTGAAGCAGGCAGTAGCAGGGTCACCTGGCACCCAGCAGTGGGGCCCAGGGGACAGATCCCTAGGCCAAGCAGTGTCAGGGAGCATGGCTGGGGGGAGGGGGGAGGAGGGAGGAGAATGTAGGGGGCAGGGTTACCTGGGGTGGAGCAGGGCAGCGGCAGACTCCTCGTGGCGGGGTGGCCCCGGGCAGGAAGAACAGGTCTCATCACAGCGGGCCATGCGCACCACTGGGCTGAGCGAACGACGAGAGGATGGGAGAAGGAAGGGGAAGACCTCCTTGCGCAGGCAGGGCAGGGCACGGGGCGAGGGATGGTCCCACAGCAACTCCCGCGACACCTCCAGGCTGCAGACCGTGTGGCGGCGCCGGCGTGCTGGGCAGGGGGCGGGCGCTGGCAAGGGCGACGGCATAGCCCAAGGGAAGTCAGGGCAGGAGTAGCTGCGGCCCAGGCGGGGCTGGCCGGGGTCCTCAGGGCTCAGGCGCCACTGGCGGATGGAGGGTCTGCGGCTCACAACGCCATCCCCCTCCTCATCATCTTCGGCCTTGCCAGGGCCCCTCCGCTCCGCTGGTTCCGAGATGGCAATTTTCACCTCGATGTTCATCCCCTGGCGTGGGCTGCGTGCCCCCGGCTGGCTCGGCCCACCCTGGCTCTGTGCTGGCTCCTCCTCAGGGCAGGGGGGCTCTGCCGACTGCCCCTCCCCCTCCTCCAGCCGGGGAGGAGGTGGGGGGCACAGGCGTGGCTTGACGGGGCTCAGGAAGATGTCGGCGAAGGTCTCCAGCTTGGATTTGACAGTCTGGAAGAAAGGGGTGATGCCCCAGTGCCGGAAGCGGGGGGCCGAGGCCTGGGGGCGCAGCAGTGAACAGATGGGAGGAGGCCAGGCAGAGGAGGAGGAGGGAAGGAGGCTGCCAGATGGCTCAATTTCTCCTGGGGCAGGATCTGCTGGGAAGATGGCACAGGCAGCAGCAGCCGCCACAGGAGGACCATGCCATGCTTTGCCCCAAAAGTGACTGAACCCCTTAAGCCCTCTGCAAGCTTCCCAAAGTCCTTCAGAAGCCTCCTTACTCCCCCTCCACCCATCTCAGACATCCGCTTCCCCCCCCCCCCGAAGTCCAGCCCCCGATGGACGTCATCCTGCCAGCCCTTTTCCTTCCCACCCTTCACCCATTTGGACCTCTGCACTAGAACTGGGTGCAAGCAGGTTCTGCGCTTCCCAGGAAAACATCCAATCTTGGCTCCTGGCCCAACTTTCAGAACAAAAACGCAACTGACTCCCGTGGGACAAAACAAAACTTGGGGAAGTCACATTCTGAGCAGCAAAGTTTCACCAAGAAAGAGCTAAACGCTCTTGCTTTGATTCAATCTCTTGAAAAACTTCGAGGTGTCTTTTCGATAAAATAAAAACAAGTTTAAAAAAATGGCCACTTCCCAAACACCCAAATAGGATTTTCCCCGCCTGACGTTTCTTTGAAATTAATGTTTCCTTCTCAACAATATTTTCACTCAAAAAAACGTTTTGAGAAGTTCAACCCCTACTCTGCTTGCAGCCCCACCCCCATGTCTAAGCTCCTCCCCTTGCCCTGCCTCTGTGTGCATTGGAGCTCTGCCCACCTGGCTGTGAGCAGTGCTGCCATTGGGCTGAGGAGGAAGATGCCGTCAGCTGATCAGCCCTGTCAGGAGAAAGAGAGGAAGTGATGTTCTGGGGCCAGCGCCCCCTAGAGGGAAAAGGCCCCACGTCCCACCCCAGCTAGTTGGTAGGGAAGTGCACTCACGTGCTAGGAGATGATGGTGTCAGCAGATCTTCCTGCTGCAGATCAGCATCCTGCCAATGAGAGGCGGCATCTGAGCTGGGGCAGGGGATGGGATCCACCCCCGTGGCAGACAGAACAGCAATGCCTGGTCAGGGCAGCTTCCGCTTTGGTTCTAAGACCAGTCTCCTCCCCTCCTGGGAGAACACTAGCTGCCGAAATCCCCACCCACCTCTGGCAGGGGCTCTGACAGCACGCGCGCACACACACACACACACACACCGTGCCCTCCCCTCTGGGCTGAACAGCCCTTTAGCCCCCCAGATGCTCACTGGTACCATGGGACACTCCTCCAGTGCCACAGTCAGGACACGCTGCTGAGCCCTCTCCATGGGCGACGACACGAGCTCCTTCCCCCAGTGGGAGGTGGCAGGAGACGCCCTCGGCATCCAGTTCTGCTGTGGTACCTCCTGCTGCAACAGCCATCGCTTGCCCCACAGACGCTCTGGCTCAGAGCCGGCCATGCCTGGCGGTGGGCAGCACGAGGGGGAGGCTTTCTTCTCTGGGCCCTGGCTGGCAGGAGAGCTTTGCTTCTCGGGGGAGGTCCTGGAAGAACGAGAAGGGACTATGGACCTCAAAACTCCTCCCACCCACTGACAATCTTCATCCCCCAGGATTTTCAGCCCCCTTTCCTCAAATCCTCACACCACCAACACCCTTTCCGCAATCCCGCCATCAGCTCCACTGAGCACCCCTGCCCCTTCCCAGCCTCCCCCACCCCCAGCAGATCCTCATGCTCCTGCCCCAGAAGCCAGTGACCCCCTCCCCCAGCAGACACCTGCTCAGCACTTGAGAGGTGCCAGGACTCCTGATCCCCTGCTCACCGGTCCATGGTAGGCTCCTCCTTCCTAGAGGTCTGATCCGATCCGGGCTGGGGGCTCCCATTTGAGGGCAAGGCCTCCTCAGGGAGGGGCTGTCCTGGGAGGGAGGGGGTGGTTGGATGAGCTGAGGAGGATGGGCCCCTTTGGGAGATCTGCTGGGCAAGATACATCATGGAGTTAAACATGGACCCCATCCCCTACAACATCCCCCAAACTGACCCCCAGCTCCTCGCAACCCCAAGCTTCTTCCCCTTCAAGGCCCAGCCTGGCCCCCTCCCACATGTAATGGGGGTACAAATACCAAACAGTTCTAGCCCCCCTCAGGCTCAGCACAGGAGTTCCTGGGCCATCTGGGAGCAACCCACAGCAGGGGGCTGAGAGAGAAGGGAGGACATGGGGGAGAGGCTGGCTTGAGAAATCCACACCAGGGAGTGGCAAAGGACTCAGCAGGTTCAAGGGAGCTGGCTGACCGCCCTGGGGGAGGGACTCAAACCATCAGATCTGCAAGCAGGGCCCTTCCCACTTCCAGACCATCCCTCCCCCCGCACTCACAGCCCCCCGTGTGGTGGCAGGACACTCCTCCAGAGCAGTGGCCGGGGGAGAGGCTGGCTTGAGAAATCCACACCAGGGAGTGGCAAAGGACTCAGCAGGTTCAAGGGAGCTGGCTGACCGCCCTGGGGGAGGGACTCAAACCATCAGATCTGCAAGCAGGGCCCTTCCCACTTCCAGACCATCCCTCCCCCCGCACTCACAGCCCCCCGTGTGGTGGCAGGACACTCCTCCAGAGCAGTGGCCAGGCCCCCCCGCCGGGGTCTCTCCATGGGCGCGGGCACCAGCCCCAGCCCTGTCGCCCGG